TTATAGACCTTATAAGCTTTACTATGTGAAGAATATCCCAAGAATACTCCCTCATCACTTCTGGGATCAAACTTGCCTACGGAGTCTTTACCATTGTTGTGCACAAAGCACTTGCATCGAATGCCCTAAGATGGAATATATTTGGTTTTCTCCCTTTAAGTAACTCATAAGGAGTCTTCTCAAAAAGAGGTCTAGTCATGCACCTATTTATGATGTAGAATGCAGTATTTACAGCTTCTGTCCAGAGGTTATATGGCCGTTTACTAGAAAGAAGCATAGTCCTAGTCATATCTTCAAATGTCCTATTCTTTCTTTCAACTACTCCATTTTGTTATGGAGTCCTAGGAGAAGAAAAATTATGATCTATGCCATGCTCATCACAAAATGCAGCAAATTTAGCATTTTCAAATTCAGTGCCATGATCAGACCTAATTGATGCAAGTTGATTACCTAGTTGTTTATGAGTTTTTCTAATAAAAGAAGTGAACATGTCAAATACTTCATCTTTAGATGTTAAAAACAATGTCCAAGTAAACCTAGAGTAATCATCAATAATCACCATCACATATCTTTTACCACCTCTGCTTAATGTTCTCATTGGACCATAAAGATCCATATGGACCAGTTCCATCGTTCTGGTGGTACTTACCACTTTCTTTCATTTAAAATAGGATCTTACGTGCTTCTCCCTTGCACAAGCCTCACAAACTTTGTCTTCCTTGAACTTGATGTTAGGCAGTCCAATCACCAAGTCCTTGGAGACTAATTTGTTGAGTTGACTCAGACTTACATGTCCAAGTCTCTTGTGCCAAAGGAGGGGATCATTGTCCAACACACTTAAGCAAGTGAGTTTATTTTCTGACAGTTTGGATAGATCTACAATATATATATTGTTCACTCTTTTTCCCTGCAAAACAATCTTGTCAATGGTAAGATTAATCACAAAACATTTAGTAGAGGTGAATGCTACCAAGTTACCTCTATCACACAGTTGTGATACACTAATTAGACTGTATTTTAGTCCATCTATCAAATAGACATTCTCAATCTAGTGAGAGTCAGTTTTATCTACCTTACCAACCCCAATGATCTCACCTTTCTTCCCATTTCTAAAGGAGATATTACCTCCTTTAAGGTCCTCAAGTGAAAGGAACTGGTTCTTGCTTCCTATCATGTGCTTTGAGAAGCCACTATCCATGTACCATATTTGGCTGCTCCCCTTCACTTGGACCTGCAAAAGGAAATCAGGGGTTAGTCTTAGGAATCTAAACTAGTTTGGGTACCTTTCTATAGGCAAAATGATGAATCAAATTCTTTCTAGCCCAACCTAGCAGCCTATTTTTCCCTTGAACAAATTCTTTGTTCTTTTGACTTGCCTTATCTTTTGCATTGCATTCACTTTTATAGTGACCTATTTTACCACAATGAGTACAAATCTTGTTCTCACGAAGTGTAAGGTACTTGCTTTTGGGATTCCATTTAGGTGGCAGATTCCCAAAGCCAAGTCCTCTTCTATTGCTACTATGATGTTCCTGTAGCCATAAAAGTGCATCGGAGGACCTGTTCCATTTACAAGTTCTGTCTAGTTCAAGCTTGACTTTGCCTATATTCTCCTTCAAAATTCTAACCTGCTCATCCTTCTTATACAACTCATCTTTTAGTTTTCCTACATTTTCTTCTCGAATGAGTTGTGTGCAATCCGTTGTCTTCTTACTTGTTCCTAATTTCAGTTTTAGATTTTCAGAACTAAGTTGTAGGACATTTGATTCAAATGCATGAACCTGGTTCTTTAATGCAGTATTTTCACTTATAGTCTCACTAACCCTAAGTTTCAGGTTCTTACACTTTACTTTAAAAATCACACATTCCTTAGACAATTGTTCATTTTCATTGTTTACATCCTCAGATTCAATAATGAAATCTAGAAGTAATTCAGATAGCCTTTATTTAGACAAAAATTTAATATTGTCTTTGAGATGAATTACACTTACCTCAGATTCCTCATCAGATTCTCCAATAGCCATAAGTGCTTGTTCATCTCCATTTTCATCATCTGAGCTTTCATCTGATGTCTCTCCCCAAGCAGCAACCATAACCTTTATTGATCCTTTGTTCTTCTTGGGTTGAACCTGTTCATTCTTCCTATTTCTTTGTTCTGCTCTTTCCTTCTTCCATTCAATTTCCCATTGAGGGCAGTTCTTGATGTGGTGATCAGTCTTACCACACTTGTAGCATCCCTCATTGGTTTGCCTTTCAGGAGCCTTTGGTTTGCTGTAGCTTCCACTTCTTGAAGGACCCTTTCCTCTCTTTAGGTACTTCTTGAAGTCCTTTGTGATCATAGCCATTTTATCATCTTCTAGATCAGAATGTTCAGTGATTCTGAGTGCCAGGCTCCTTTCCTTCTTGGGTACATCCATTTTCATGGTTTGCCTTCTAAGTTCATAAGCAGGGAAATTTACAATTAGCTCATCCAACTTAAGAGTGGCAATGTTTTTTGATTCCTGAATGGCAGTGATTTTGCTCTCCCAAGTAACCGGCAGAACCCTTGTCAAAATCTTCTCAACTCTGTCTTCTTCAGAAATAATCCTTCCAAGAGACTTAAGTTCATTTGTCAGTGTGGTGAACCTTGTGTACATCTCTTGGATGGTTTCCCCTTCCTTCATAGTGAAATTCTCATATTGAGAATATAGTAACGTTCCTCTGGACCTCTTCACCTGAGGTTTTCCTTCATGAGCAACTTGCAAAGTGTCCCAAATTTTCTTAGCAGTAGTACAACTTTGAATTCTGCTGTATCGTTTGGACCAAGTCCACACACGAGCCATTTCTTGGCCTTCGCATTTTTCTCCCGTTTCCTCAAGTCCTCAGCAGTGCAGTCAGCTCTTGTTTTTGGCACATCTACTCCGTCAGCATTCTTTTTCATGGTAGCCAGGGGACCATTAGTGACAATGTCCCATAGCTCATAATCTTCTCCTATGATGTGGTCTCTCATTCTGTTTTTCCACCAGGAGTAGTACTGGCCATTGAAGAGTGGTGGCCTAGCAGTAGATTGTCCTTCCCAATTTTCAAGTGGTGCACTCATCTTGATATTCTCCTAAGGTGTTAGCCTCTTCAAGGATAACCTGCTCTAATACCAATTGATATTTTAACTTCAATACCACACAAGATGGGGATGATTTATATGGTGTCCATTTTTTTGCGTGCACAGATTATAAAATGACCTGGTTCTTCTATGTGTTCCTTATACTACTGTTGCGGAATAATAAATGTAGAAATTAAAGAACACTAGGATTTTACGTGAAAACACCTGGCTCAAAAGGTAAAAAAATCATGACCTACTTCCCAGTAGGATTTTCACAAAACTCTTCACTAAATCACTGAGCCAAAAACTGTATTTACAAAACACTTTTGTAAATCTAAGATTAACTCTAATCCCGTTGTGGCAACTGGCCTCTAACTGTTACGACAAGTTCAAGTTAACTCTAACTTGAATACTCTGAGTACCTATTACAATTGCCTCTAGATAAATTTGAAAGGTACAATCTGAAAGCACCTACTACGATTGAACTAGAATAAAAGACAAACATTTGGAACTGATTCTTCTATCTGGTTCATATAGCTTCAGGTTCGCACACTTGAATCACACACGAACTGCTTGCAAAATGCCTTGCTATTTTGCTCTCAATTCACGTTTAACTTCTGCTTTTGTGTGTTACCTGTAGAGTGAGAACACCCTGCAATATATAGAGTTAGTAGATGAAGAAATAACTAGAGTTCTAATGCTACTCTTCTTTGGTGGAAGAGTTCTAGTTGATCTCAAGCTCTAACTCCTCCCTTATCTTGGATGGTGTTCTCTTTTGATTAAGGAGTCCTTCTCCTTATCAATTATGCAATCCTTTTCGATCAGGAGATATTAATTCGACCAAGATAAGCTTATCTCCTTCACGTGTATCCCATATGCTCGAATCTGTCCGTGTCTATGCACACAAGGGATGGACCTGGTTCATGCCTGAGCTTCCTTTGTCAATCTTCAAAATTAACCTTCATTTAGGCCAACAGAAAGAATTGGCATACTTCAGCAGCTGAGAATACTGAATGTTTCCTTTTTGCACTTTTGTTTGCAGCTTATTTTAATTACAGGAGGAGGAGCATCTTTTCTGCACATCCTAGATCTTTTAGATTTATCAACCTACACTTTTGTTTGTACCTTCTTTTAGTTACAGTTTTCTAGGAGACTGAAGCATCATTATGCAACTGTATGTCATCCTGGAGTTTTAACATTCATCACTGTGATCCATTTTCTTTGAAACAGTATTTGTAGTATTCTTCTACTGTGATTGCAGGTTATTGATAGGGTCCTAGAATCTTATTATATATTTTGGTGCTCATTTTGATTGTTGATGCCATTGTACCGAAATTAGAATTATGGTGTGACTTACATAGATGATTTTTTGAGATTTAATTGTTGCGAAATATGTGATTAAACCTTACTTCTAACTATCTCATTGACGATCTCTGTTATAACGCACATAGGACGTATCAACTTGATGTTATGTACATCCATATGTATTGAAAACATAACAAAGACATGAACCAAATTATTTAAGCTTGCTCCTGGGCCCGCATTGCACGGGCTTCCATTTCTAGTAAACCATATATGTGGCTTATAAAGATATAAGACCAGTGCACAAAATCTGCACTATTACTGCATAAAACATACACTAACAATGCACAAAACATACACTGGCCGTGCATTCAACTTATACTCATTGAAAAATACAAGTAATTTGAAAACAGCAAGCGTAAAAGCAATTTTCAAAATGCAACTAACTATACCAATTAAGCATAATAACTAAAAACTTAATCCCAAAACATAGTTCGCATAATTATTAATACAATGTTCAGGTAGCAATGAAGACATTAAAAGTCTACAAGAAACTTTGGCTGCATGGCCATGTAAACATACTTATTTAAGCTTCAAGAAATTAAGTTCAAGAAAACGATCAATTTCTCTTGAAGCCATAATGGTAGTGATAAGCCGGCAGCTGGTGTTCCTCATCGGCTGACGTACCACTACCACTGGCTAGGGAGAGTTCCTGCACCGCAGGCAATGGATTCTGAGCCTGCTCGGGCGATGGTGGTGGTCCATAGTTGACCGGAATTGGGTCCACTGGGACGGAGGAAGTTGCAGCAGCCTCTCTCCGACGAGCCATCATGGAAGCTATAGCTGGATGAGGAGAGCCGGGCAATTGAAATTGGTGCTGAAAGTATGGTATCCTAACATTTCCCCAATTACAGTACTCAAATTAACATGTGGCTTATGAATTAATTGAACTGCGAATTAAATGAGTTATGCATTCTAACCCAAAATATATTCAGATATTGCCTATGTTGAAGATGTTTCTAAAACTAACAAGACAACGGTTAATGATGAGGTTCTAATACTAATTTAAGAAAAATCCAAGAAACATATGTTCCCCAAACCCAAAAGATAATTGATGTTTAAACGGTAATATATATATATATAGAGAGAGAGAGTGAGATAGAGAGAGAGTATAACGTTTAAGTTACTGTTGTGGTTAATAAACATTGAGCTGGTTTGTTACTATGGCTATTTGTAATGGAATTTGATTTACGTTATAGGCAAAGACGGAGCCAGGATTTCAAGCTTATGGATTCTGGATTTTAATCGCCTTAAGTTTCCTCGGTTCTAAATTAATAATTTGTACATACTTAATGAATTTTTAAAGGTAAATACAGAGTTCGAACCAAAGTTACTGGGTTCGGCCGAACCCCCTCTTGTCACTCTAGCTCCTGCCACTAATTAATTTTTAAAAAAAAATTGAGATCATATCATGGAGGTTGTAAACTGTCACTAAATCTCTTCAAAAGACCGTCTTAAATTTAAAATTCATTTTGTGGGGGTTATCGTTTGTTTTAAAAAACCGTCACAAGATTGCTCGTGGCACTTGAAACCATGGCGTTATCAAAAACCGCCACTAATTAAGAAAATAACTCCACGAAATGAGCCTTTTCTTGTTGTGATATATAGGTTAATAAAGGGTACATGAGGTAAAAATCTCATATGAACAAGTGTAACGTGCTTTATCTTCAAACAAAAGTATTGTAGCAGTAATTAACTGCCACTAATTAATTATTTTTCTTTAAAAACGATGAGATGATATTAAGGGGGTTATAAGCCCCCACAAATATTTCTTTTTAAAACATTGAGATCATATCATGAGGATTGTAAACTGTCACTAATCTCTTTAAAAGACCTTAAATTTAAAATTCATTTGTGGGGGTTATCGTGGGTTTTAAAAGACAGTCAGAAGATTGCTCATGGCAACTGTAACCATGGCGTTTTCAAAAACTGCCACTAATTGAGAAAATAACTCCACAAAATGAGCCTTTTCTTGTTGTGATATATAGGTTAATAAAGTGTACATGAGGCAAAAATCTCATATGAACAAGTGTAACGTGCTTTATCTTAATTATATATGTTGATAAAGATATGAAGAAGAACAATGGTAAGTAGTGTTACCTCATATTGGTAGCTACAGCTTGGTTATACAAGTGAAGGCGTGCTCGAAGTTGCATTAATAACTCTTGAGGCGATAATTGTGGCTAATGAAAAATTCAAATAGGAATTGTTTCAGATAATTGTGTTGAAACAAGTGTATACAGAAATGCAAACTGAACAAGTAAAAGGGAACTGAGAGAGTATTAATTACGTCGTTTACATATTCTTCGTCATCGATGATATTGTTTTGTTGTTCATTAGGATCTTCATTTTGAGGACCTGCGAACCACCTCCAGTTCCCACCTTCTTCAATATTCCTGCAGTTGGGACACTGCATTCTTCCTCTGTTATTGAATTCTGACCCTATGCAGTCTGCATAACAAAATAATAAATAAATGGAAGGGCATTTAATTAAGATCTGTTATTGAATTCATTTAATTTTTGAAAAAAAAAGAAAGAGATGCATCTATATAAGGAAAAATATTTCTATGTTTATTGAAGGCTAAATACCTTTACACTTCTATGATTTTCATATATGGACTTGTAGGTGTGTGTCTATGTTCATTATCTAAAGCAGACACGAGCAGTTCATAATTTTGTTTTTGTTTAATTTATATGCATCAATTGTGTAAAAAATAATAATTATACCATCAGGTCATCCATAAAATAATTGTAGGTAATTCTTCATAAAAAGTGAGATTTATAATCATGAAAATAATCAAATTTACCTGCTATAACAGGGTAAAAGTAACCTAATAACATAAAACATTGTTATGCTGTCAATTTAGACTAGTTAGACACTTTTTTTTTTCCTTTCAAGATGTCGTATATATATTCTTCTTTATTGTTTCTAGCTACTGATGGAGTTTTTCTTTTTCTTTTTAAAAACCCTTTTAACCTACATACCCTATCGCCATTCAATTGATTTTGTAATCCTTTATAATTTTATTTAGTTTTATATCTTCTTTTACAAGAGATCATTAGTTTTTCACATGAGGGATCTGAAAATAACACATAAAAAATTCTTTCCAAGGTCATTTTCTTCTGTTCAAATTGTAAGTAAGTATAAGAGACCATTTCCTTTTTTTAAGCCGAATCAACTTGTCAAGTGATGGGAAAAGAATGTTTGTCCTATATCTCAAAAGGTTTAATTTGACTTACAAGTTATCAAGAAAAACGAACCTAGCTACTATGATTTTATGAGGATCTAAATAGTTTTCGATGAGTCAGAAAGAAAATCAATTTAATAAATATATCAAAAATACAAATTCAAGAAAAGGAAAAAGGTTAAATCATATGAAGTAGACAAACATTTTTAATGTGCAGTAAAATAGAATTAGTCAGATCGCTTTAGTTTAATTTCACCACAATATATATATAATACCTGAATGATGAATTAAATAAAGTTTTTAAATTATTTTTAAAAAAAGTGTGTATGTATATGTGTGTGTTTAAATATATGTATGTATGTATGTATGTATAACTGAAAGAATTAAATAAAGTTTTTAAATTATTTTTTAGAGATCTACATAAATTTCAGATATATGTTACATACCCGTATGAAAAAAATGGCCACAGTGAAGCTTGGTGATGGACCTTCCAACGTTGTCAAGGACAACTTCCAAGCAAATGGTACACTCGGGAGCATTCATCATATCATTTGGGAAAGAACTAGCCATTGTAAATTAATGAAACAAAGGGAAGCCTTAGAGAAATAAAATACTTAAATCAAAGGAGAAGTGAAGACTAAGCTGAGGAAATAAATAATGAACTTTTCAGGTAATAATTCAAATTTGAATAGACAGATATGAAAAACAAGATATTTTGTAAATTAGAAATGCATATAGGACTAAGGACAGGGAAAAGAATTATTGATCTAGATTGTGGTAATATGTTTATTTGTTAGAGATTCGTTGACTTGACTAAGGTTCATCACTGATAATATCCAAGAAAGAAGACAATTTTATTGACCTACCAAGATTGTAATCTTCTGTTAGATTCTCATATATATATTTTGATGAAGTGAGGATATGATCTGTGTTATTTGTGACTAAATTTTTTGTATCAACGACTAAAAATTTTGAAGTTTGTAAAGATAATTTGTGGTGGCCCCATCGCTAAAAAGGTAAAAATTAACCTGTTCCCATTGGTTACAAAATTCTAGTTATAATTCATTTGATGTACACGTAGAGGCTTATACTTTATGCTGATAAACACATGAAACTGTATCTCTGCATGTGTGTTTGTGTCGAGGGCTTTTGTTATCTTATTTGAACAATAATTACTCTAGCCATATAGGAGGTATTTACTGGATTAGTATTAATTTCTTTTACTAATACATACGTAGTAACTCCCTCTGACGTCGAACTGTCAATGGTAGATCATGATCAATGATCCAGGGTGTTGTCTGGAAATTCAATTTCACCTGATAATAATAATAATAATAATAATAATAATAATAATAATAATAATAATAATAATAATAGGCTTATAATAATAACAAGCCTATTAATTACTCAAGAGTGATATCACACAAATATGTGATCGAGAAACATATATTCTTCGTCAATATTACACCAAAACTACGAGATATACTAATTAGGACGTTAATTATATAGAATTGTTATCCAAATAAACGTTTACGTACATTGGCGTAGCCATCTTATACCAAGGGTAGTCAAGCGCACAACCTTCACAAAAACTTAAACTGCATATATAAGTTGAATGTTACTTTATATGGATATATATTATATTGTAAACACTTTTAACATGATGTAACGATCCTACCGTCGTTTTGAGAGTTATAGCCCCGACCCCCTGTTTACTGCTTCCCCCGCATCTTTTTCCGCTTATGTGACTTGTCGGGAAGTGTTATTCGTGGTTCCGGAGTATTTTGGGACACTTAGTCCCTAAAACGGAAGCTTAAGTTCTAGGATTTTGACCATAGTTGGAACTGTGTGAAGACGACTCCTGAATGGAGTTTCGTCGGTTTCGTTAGCTCCGTTGGGTTATTTTGGACTTAGGAGCGTGTTCGGATTGTGTTTTGGAGGTCTGTAGCTGAATTAGGCTTGAAATGGCAAAAATTAAATTTTTGGAAAGTTTGACGGTAGTGAACTTTTTGATATCAGGGTCGGATTCCGAGTCCGAAAGTTGGAGTAGGTCCGTAAGGTTGAATATGACTTGTGTGTAAAATTTGAGGTCAATCGGACGTGATTTTTAACTAAAAGTTAGTTCTTAAATAACAACAACAACAACCTAGTAAAACTCCACAGGTGCGGGGTTTGGGAAGGGTACTGTGTACACAAACCTTATCCCTACACCGATGGAGTAGAGAGGAAAAACGAAAAAGAGGAAAAGAGACAATATATCAGTACCATCAACAGAAACCATAGAAATAATAACAATATCATAAGAATCAAAAAATAGATAAAACGCAATAACAATAGCCAGTAAAGAAGGCCCGATGCTATGAAAAATGGAAGAACAACATTAATTGCTGGCAGTCTAAGACAAACCCTATTAGACTAGCCTCTCACCCAGTACGAAGTAGATAAATTCTCAACTACCTCCTAACCTACAACCCTAATGCTCGACTTCCACACCTTCCTATCAAGGGCCATGTCCTCAAAAATCTGAAGCAACGTAATGTCCTGCGTGACCACCTCTCCCCAATAATTTTTAGGCTGCCCTTTACCTTTTCTCGTACCCGTCAAATCCAACCGCTCACACCTTCTTACCTAGGCATCAGGGCTTCTCCTCCGCACATGCCCGAACCATCTATCGCTTCTCGCATCTTGTCTTCTATAGGAGTTATGTCCACTTCTCCTGAATATCTTCATTCCTAATCTTATCCATCCTAGTGTGCCCGCACATCCACCTCAACATCCTTATTTCTGCTACTTTCATCTTCTGTATATGTGAATTCTTAACCGCCCAACACTCTACCCCATACAACATGGCTGGTCTAACCACTGCTCTATAAAACTTACCTTTAAGTATAGATGGCACTTTCTTGTTACACAGGACTCCATATGCTAACCTCTATTTCATCCATCTCACCCTTATACGGTGTGTGATGTCCTCTTCGATCTACCTGTCCTCTTGGATAACCGACCCAAGGTACTTAAAACTGCCTCTCTTAGGGATGACCTATGATCCAAGCCTCATGTCCATTCCCGCTTCCCCTTTCTCGGCACTGAACATGCACTCCAAGTATTATGTCTTAGTCCTGATCAACTTGAAACCCTTAGACTCAAGGGCATGTCTCCACACCTCCAGCCTCTTGTTAACACCGCCTCGCGTCTTATCAATCAGAACTATGTCATCAACGAATAACATACACTGTGGCTGTAATGACCCGACCGATTGTTTTGCTTTCTAGATCCCCTTTCCATCTAACTAAACTCCCCATATGTGCTTTTACTGCTTTATGACTTGCGGGGATGGTTGGTTTAGGTTTGAAAGGGTTCGAGTTGAAATGGGAACACGTTGTTCCTTTAAGGTGGCCAAGTTTGACTTAAGTCAATATTTCGAGTAAACGATCTCGAAACCAAGATTTGAAGGTTCCAAGGGGTTCGTATAATGGTTTTGAACTTAAGAGCGAGTCCGGATGTTTATTTGGAGGCATGTACGTCATTTCGACTCGAATTGACAAAAGTTAGAAAGTTAAAGGTTTGGAAGGTTGAAAAGTTTGATCATGAGTTGAATTTATTGATATCGGGTTCCGATTTTCGATTCCAGGAGTTGGAATAGGTCTGTTATGTCATTTATGACTTTTGTTCAAAATTTGAGGTCAATAGGATTTGTTTTGGTATGATTCGGCGTAGGTTTTGGAAGTCGGATGTTCATAGTTTCAATAGGCTTAAATTGAGTTGCGATTTGTAGAATCGAAGTTGTTTGATGTGATTTCCGGCCTTGAGTAGGTCCGTTATATATTTTGTAACTTGTTGGTATACTCGGACGGGGTCCCGGAGACCCCGGGTATGATTCGGATTGAATCGGATCATTTCAAACTTTTGTTGAGCTGCTCAACCTGGTGTTGTGCTCGTGTAATCGCACATGCAGAAGTTTTGGTCGTAGGTGCGGACACGCAGGTGGCAGAGGAGTGACCGCAGAAGCGGCCTGGAGTGGGTTGAGCAGTGATCGCAGATGCGAGGAAAGTAGTCACAGATGTGGACGAGGCCAGGAAGGCCTAGGGTCGCAAGAGTGGAGGTCCCTCCGCTGGCGCGCGAGTGCAGGTGCAGTCAGTTTTCGCATAAGCGGATGTGCGTGTGCGCATGATTCTCTGCAGATGTGGACTTGCCCAACCTTAGTGAGAACCGCACCTGCGATGGATTTTCCGCAAGTGCATTGTCGCAGGTGCGACCCTAGGTCCGCAGAAGCGGAAATCGCTGGTAGTGAGGGAATTTAATCCGAGACTTATGCCATTTCCCACACACTTTCATTTGGTCTTGGGTGATTTTGAAAGCACTTTTGAGGGGGATTCTCATTTACAATACCCACCTATTTTTAAGTTAAATACGTGGATTATAGGTAGATTAAACATGGAAAGTTTGTGAAACTAGTAGGATTTTGTGAATAACCTAGGGTTTTGGTAAAGTTGGGATTTTATCATGAATTTGATGGTGGAAATTGTAATAAATTATATATTGGAGTTCGGGAGGTCATGGGTAACTTTTATATTTAAAAATTTCTAGAATCCGGGTACGTGGGCCCGAGAGTAAATTTCATGAATCTTCGAAATTGGGTTGGGTAACTACTATAAAAGCTAAATTATGAACTTTTGAGTATATATTTACTAGTTTATACGACTATTGATTAGTTTTGGAGCCCTCGACGTCGTTTGAGGAGTTTTAGTGAGGTTGGAGAGCCGGATTGAGGACTTGAAATCGAGGTAAGTCTCTTGCCTAACCTTGTACGAGAAAATTTATCCCCATAGGCGTATTTTTGTTATGTGCTACTTGTGTGGGGAGCTATGTACGCACGAGGTGACGAGAGTCCGTACGTAGATATATCTCATGATATGTCCGGATAGACTTAGATTCACATCATGCCTGTAATTGTACTGATCATGCCTATTATGTGTATTAATTATTTTGATTAGGACTGAGACTTAGGGTTTAAAGTGGAAATATCGACCTGATTTCTTCTTTTAGAAAAGTTGGGAAACACTTTGTCACGACCCAAACCGATGGCCATGACGAGTGCCCTAGTCCTACCTGTCGAACACCCCTAAGCATGCGTTTACGATATAAATATGAATTAAGGGTAGGTCATTGTAATGACCCAACCGGTCATTTTGACTTTTAGAACCCCGTTCTCCTAAATAAAACTCCGCGTATGTGCTTTTATTAATTTATGACTTGCAGGGATGGTTGGTTCAGGATTTGGACGTGTTTGAGTTGAAATCGGAACACTTGGTTCCTTAAGTTGGCTTTAAACGGCCAAGTTTGACTTCGATCAACATTTTGAGAAAATAACCCCGGAATAGAATTTTGACGATTTCAGCAGCTCCGTATGGTGATTTTGGACTTAGGAGCGTGTTCGGAATTGTATTTGGAAGTCCGTAGTTAAATTAGGATTGAAATGGCTAAAATAGGAATTTAAGTTTGGAAGTTTGACCGGGGAGTTGACTTTTTGATATCGGAGTCGGAATCCAGTTCCAAAAATTTTCATAGCT